TAACAAAAATATTCTTGGTAGAGGTGGATTTGGTAAGGTTTATAAAGGACGCTTAACTGATGGAACTCTGGTTGCTGTAAAAAGACTTAAAGAGGAGAGAACCCAAGGTGGGGAGCTACAGTTTCAAACAGAGGTTGAAATGATTAGCATGGCTGTCCACCGCAATCTGCTTCGTCTGCGTGGTTTTTGCATGACACCAACAGAAAGGCTGCTTGTATATCCTTATATGTCTAATGGAAGTGTGGCATCATGTTTAAGAGGTACTCATCTAAATAGTTTGCTGCGTTGATGAATCTTTTTGTTTTCATGAAATTAAAAATTGTTTGGATTACATTGATAAAGTGAATTTATACACCCGACCAATTTGGTTGATGTTGATTTTATTTAATGGATAACTAGATGACTCTTTTTTGGGTGGGACGGGTGGCATGATATGTGTTAAACCACATTACCTGTTGCTTGTAATTTAAAATTCTACTCTTATAATTATGTTGATAAATTATTGTAGATCGTCCAGAAGGACAACCTGCACTTGATTGGCCAATAAGACAACGCATTGCATTGGGATCTGCAAGAGGCCTTGCTTATTTACATGATCACTGTGATCCAAAAATTATTCACCGTGATGTGAAAGCAGCAAACATATTGTTGGATGACGAATTCGAAGCAGTTGTTGGAGACTTTGGGTTAGCTAAACTCATGGACTACAAGGATACACATGTTACCACAGCTGTACGTGGCACAATTGGTCATATAGCACCAGAGTACCTTTCAACTGGAAAATCTTCCGAGAAAACTGATGTTTTTGGATACGGGGTCATGCTTCTTGAACTCATCACTGGGCAGAGGGCTTTTGATCTTGCTCGGCTTGCGAATGATGATGATGTCATGTTACTTGATTGGGTATGCTTTTACGTCTTTCTGTTTCTGTTTGTAGCTAATTTATTGTTATATGCAAGATTATTTTCCAACAACATTTGCATGAGGTCCACCTTCTGATTATATTTTATTGTTCTAAATCTTCCATAATTTCTTTCATATTTTATATAATTCAACGATATTTTTGCTTCAATCTATTGTGTCCCTAAATCCAAATCTTGAAAATTATGTTTCAATACTCATTGTTAAAGAAATGTTATATAATATACTGTAGATTAGGTGTATCTCTCCATACCAATGTTGCTATTTATTTAAGCTAAAAATAATGGGTCTCGACACCTAATCACTTTATTTCACACCGCTAATCTCATATGACTTTCTTAATCATTGTGTATGGAACATTTCTGCAATCATTTTATTTGGTTCTTTGCAAAGATACTTTAAAAACCTATTACTCATCATAGAGCTGCCAAGTTCCTGTTCAATTAATGTAAAAATCACTTAGTCATTTTTGGCTCGAATATTGAAAACAGTTAGAATCATGGATAAAAGAAAAGAAATAATACTTAACTTTTAGAAAATAACTTTAGTTTAATTAGCTTTTATTAGTTAGAGTTACAATTAAGCTGTGAAGATTTATTTATAGCAATCTAAGGTTTAAATTGTCAGAGATTAATTATTACATTTCCTTGGTAATTGTTGTTGCTTCTTTTGCCAATGTATTGGCCTTGCTGTGATTTCTTGAAGAATTTGGCATGTGTTTTGTATCGATCCTAATTTCCTCATTATCTCTTTATTCTCGCTATCTTGGCCTCTTTCTTCTTTCTATTCTCTGTTTGCATCTTTGTCATATGTTTGCATCACATCGATATTTGAATGACATTGCATTTTTGTAAGCAATTTGATTTTCTGGGGATACTGCGGCCCTTAAAATCTTGAACATTACAACACATTTTCACTCTCCTAGGTGCCCTCACCTTTTGTTTCAAATGGTAGAACTATCTGACTTTTTCCTTTTTATTTTAACTAAAATAATAGGTCAAAGGACTACTGAAAGATCGGAGGTTGGAAACACTTGTTGATGCTGATCTAAATGGAAATTATGTTGACGATGAAGTGGAGCAGCTCATCCAAGTAGCTCTGCTGTGCACACAAGGCACCCCAGGGGAACGACCCAAGATGTCAGAGGTTGTCCGGATGCTGGAAGGCGATGGTTTGGCTGAAAGATGGGAGGAGTGGCAAAAAGAGGAGGTGTTCCGCCAAGATTTCAACCCTATTCATCATCCAAGTACTAATTGGATCATAGACTCAACTTCTCATATTCCTCCGGATGAGTTGTCCGGTCCCAGATGATATGCTCGTTGGTTCCGCCCCCCTGTATACATGTAAGAAGCCTTCAGAGGACTGGAGAAGGTCCATTTTGTATTTCAGTGATACCACATTTGTGCATATGTTTTGTCTTTGTTTTCGATTTTGTTTTTGTCTCGCTTATTTTTAAGATCACAAAAATGGAGCTGGTGTTGTTGTAATTTTTATAGGGTTAACTGGCATTACGAAGTTATATGGTGCTAGCAGGAATTAGGAAGGGCCATAAAAGCACCCATTCCAGATGATTTATGTATCTATCCAGAAATTAGTCCAAATTATCGAGTAAATAATCATTGTGAACTTATAACTATCTATATTTTTGAGTGTTCCTATAGATCCCATAGATACGATAAGGACACCAGGTCAAGTGCGTGGCTGCTTGTGGACGGATAGTGTTAGAAATTTCATTGTGATCATTGCAAGTGGGACTTTGTGGCATTACCCTTACAAGTACTTGAACTAAGGCATTAGGGGATCAAGAGAGCACTTTGTGTCATTCCAACACAGGAATTCAAGCTCTGTCTATCCTTTTCAGAGTATCGCCAATGGAGATCCCTCTACTATCTTTGAGAATTTGTTAAAGACCAACTGTAGGGTAAGATCCAAACCTAAATATTGAGTTTAAACAAAATAAAAATGCAATCTAATTGTGGGACATTTTTGTTTTTTTTTGAACAAAAAAATATTATCTAGATTGGGTTAAGCCTTACAACAGGCTAACAATAATATGGTTCAAATTTGCCTTTAGTGAAAATCGAACCTAAAGACCTTTCTTATATGTGAAGTTGAATATCATTAAACTCTAGTACTAGGTAATATCTAATGGTTGGACTTAAACCTAAAAAGTTTGGCTTTTGACCCAAGCTAAACCCAAATTTGGGTTTGTATTTGGCTGATCCAAAATTTTGGGGGCCCTACCTTTTTTTTCTTAAAAGCAATGGGCGAATGGTTTATTGAAGTGGCCGGCAGATGGATCCCTCACCTAGCAGGGTCCCAGCTGCAAAACGGTAATAGTTTAAGGAACTATGAGTTGTTCAATTTTTGGGCCATTGGTGATCAACGGTCAAGATTAAAATCCTTTTATGCATTGCAATCTTTAGATTTTGATCTAATTGTTCATATTTTTTTTTTTTCAAATCTAGTTGAAGGATCACATGAGACTACTTTCACATGAGATTAAGACATTAAGAAATAGAATAGTGACAAGTTTGATGAATGCATCTAATTAGATTACTTTCAAGTACAATTAACAATATTGTACTAATGAATCCTAGCTATTTAGTCTAATATATTTCAATTGAAATAGTTTGTCATACTAATTAATATTTAAGATAAAGTTTATAAATATTTTTCTTTTAAAAATAAAGTATATTTAGTAATTCATCTTTATTTGTTGGGAAAATTAAATTAATAGCACATATAGTATTATACCCCTTTTGGTCATTTCACATAGTCATTGTTATTTTACATAAAAGTTTACCAAGCATTATCATACTGTTCTTTTTTTTTTTTTTTTTCAAAAGCACTTTTACAAAAAATTTTACTAAACACTTTGTTGCTTTATTTCACAGCTGCTTATTCTCACAGCACAGTAGAAACAATTTTTTTTTTCAAAGCACAGCAATACCAAACCAGTCCTACATCTCTTTTTACTGTTTTATTTCAACAACCACTCTCTCTCTCTCTCTCTCTCTCTTTTTTGTTGTTCGCTCAAAAAAAAGACTTTTAAGTACTACTTTGGTACTGAGATGATTTGTAGTTTGGGTATTCATACATGGCGATTTGTTGTCAATTTTTGTAATTGTTCCGTCGTTCTTATTTCAGTTCACTTAATTTTTATACAGCTCAAAAAAGTGCGGGCAGAGATTGGAGAACTCTCTAAGCATCTGGGGTTGATCATCAGGAGATTGTATCCATTGCAGAACCTCTTCTCTCTGGCCTACCGAGTGTGCCTTGCTATGAGGAGCCACCATCCAAATATGTTGGAGGAGAGTTCCGTTATCAAGCTGATACACCGGTTCGTATTTTTGTCCATTCAAAAGTTGTTTCTCCTTTCCTTCGTTTTCTCCTCGTTGTCTGATACAAAAATATAGGAAATTTTCATGTAAATTATTTAATTTTGTTACTAACATGCTATCTGCTATACTCCTCATCGTCCAGGAAACACCCGTAGCTCTTGCTTTTGAGAGGATGCCTCCTGCTGGGTTCCGAGCTATTCGCCGTTGGCAATTGTCGAAATAAAATTTTGAAAGGATTAATTTGATCCAAATTACATATACCAGGATTTGTTTTGGCAAATATTATTTCTTTTCTTAGCTGTTTTGGTGTACAGGGGGTTCTGCACCCTCCAAAAAGCAACCTAACAACAAGAACAAAACTTCTCCTCCTTCATTTCGCGCACAAAAATGGAAGGATTTTAATTTTAAGGGATGTGTGGGTTTTTTTTTTTTTTTTTTTCATGACACATAAATTGGGCTTCTCGTCGCCTTTATTTCAAATGAACACGTTATATTTTTTTATGAGTTATTTAATTTGGGCTTTTTCTTTGGTGTTTATGATCAGAAAGAATTGGGTAACTCATAGAATTTACGGTAGACCTAAGATAAAGATAAATGTTGTGAAATTTAGTCTTAGGGAGAAGTTTTTCTTCATGCATGTACAGTTGTGTTGGATCAAAATGTTTATATATAGAGAGAGATGTTTGTAACCCCATAACAACATACAAGATCAAGAGTGAAAGTAATAATACTAACATGGTGTTTGTAATCTCCACCGTCAACATCCTCATCGGCCTGTTCGGCAGCACCGAAGACTTGGAAACTTGTATTGGGTTGGTGAAGAAATGGAATCCCAACATGAACAGCTACACTTACAAGTGCTTGCTTCAGGCCTTCCTGCGCTCTCGCGATTCCGGCAAAGCTCTCGATACTTACATCGACATGCGTCGGCGGGGTAACAAGCTCGACATTTTTGCCTACAACATGCTGCTGGATGCGTTGGCGAATGACGAAAAGGTTTGAATTTTGATTGAATTGAATGCAATGTGACATTGTGGTTGCGCTCACATGTTCGAATTCGATGTGGGTTTTAGCGGGTTTCTGATTTTCTGATTTGCAGCAGAAATTTGGCAGGTTGAGGATGCACGCAAGGTGTTTGATGATATGAAGAAGAAGCATTGCGAGCCGGATGAGTTTACGTACACGATTATGATCAGAGTGGTTGGGAAATTGGGTAAGGGCGATGAGTGTCTCGGGTTGTTTCAGGAGATGGTGAACAAGGGTTGCGCTCCGAATATGATGCTTTATAATACTATGATTCAGGCTCTTGCTCGGAGCAAGATGGTTGACAAGGCCATCATTGTGTTCTCGAAAATGGTACAGAACAATTGCCGGCCTAATGAATTTACGTACAGTGTGGTTTTGAATCTTTTGGTTGCAGAAGGGCAGGTTCGATGAGGTGGTGGGGATGTCGACGAAGTACATGACGAAGTCGATATATGCATATCTTGTGAGGACATTGAGTAAATTGGGTCATGCCGGGGAAGCTCACAGGTTGTTCTGCAACATGTGGAGCTTCCATGACATGGGGGATCGGGATGCATATACTTCAATGTTGGGGAGTTTATGCAGTGCAGGTAAAACTGCAGAGGCGATTGACATGCTAAGTAACATTCTTGAGAAAGGGATAACTACTGATACTATCATGTGCAACACGGTTTTGGCAGCTCTTGGAAAGTTGAAGCAGATACCCCATCTTCATGAACTGTACGAAAAGATGAAACTTGATGGGCCCGAACCGGACATATTTACCTACAACATTATGATTTCGAGCTTTGGTAGAGCTGGGAAGGTTCATGAGGCTGTGACGATATTCGAACATCTCGAGAATAGTGATTGTAAACTGGATATTATCTCTTACAATTCGTTGATCAATTGCCTTGGGAAAAATGGTGATGTGGATGAAGCCCACATGAGGTTTAAGGAGATGCAAGAGAAGGGTTTTAGCCCTGATGTCGTCACCTACAGCACTCTGATCGAGTGCTTTGGCAAGACGGGTAGGGTTGAAGTGGCATGCAGGCTGTTCGACAACATGCTTGCTCAAGGCTGCTATCCGAATATAGTGACATACAACATCTTGCTTGATTGTCTTGAGAGGTGTGGGAGGACTGCTGAGGCAGTGGATCTATATGCGAAACTTAAGCAGCAAGGGTTGACACCGGATTGGATTACATACGCAGTGCTTGAACGGTTGCAGAGTTGTTAAGCAAAGTCCGATCACAGGTTGGGTTGTGAGCCCTTTAAGGTGATGAATGGTGTAGATATACCAAATTTTGCATTATTGCTTCTTTGGAGCCAGTTTCCAGTTCCTCCCAAGGCCGAAGCATGTGGCTGCTGCTGCGACTACTCAAGAAACTTGCTTCCCACGGAGCCATCACAACGAGGACCCGTTTTGTTCGCGGAATGAGTTACTTGGGCATGAAAATTCATGCTCATTCCTGTGAGATAGAAACTGCCTCACTTGAGTTTTCGACAAAAAATGATTCTCACTTGTGGAACATCACAAATTTAGTCACAGATTCACAAGTGTTGTTGAAAAATTCAATAATTGATGTGGAAGCATGTCTTGTATTTCAGAATTGATGTCTCACTGTCTTTCAGAATCGAACTTTACGTGAACAATGAACTTGTATCGTTGCCTTCCGTAGTCCTCTTATTTCAGAAGCCGTCTCAATTTTAAACGAACTCTCTGAAATTCAACTCTGTGTCTCAACGATGCTTTGGCTGCAAAGAAAACAACGGCTCACTTCATAAGACAACTCAAATATTACCTAAGTTTGCAAATAAATCCAGTCAAAGTCTAGTACAAAATGTCGACTGGAAGCAAGGAAGGATCAGAAACAAATCGAATAGCTCCGGATGTTTTCTCACACCACAAAATCTACAAAATTCTTCTACCACTCATCGTCTATCACAAGCTACACTTGAAATGCCATACGAGTGGATCTCAATAAGTTATTGCAGTAAACCATACTTTTAAGTTCCAAACAAAACTGCGCAGAAAGCCAAGCTCGGAGTACTTGATCAACGCTTGACCCACTGGAAGCTCTTCCTTGCTTTTGCTTTTCCGGGTTTTTTCCTTTCCACCACACGCGAGTCCCTTGTCAAGAAACCAGCTGGAAACACAAACAAGTTGCTGGGTTAGCAAGGAAGGGGCAGATAGATATTGCCAGGTTAAGATCTGTTTCCCCTTATAAGCCAGAAATAACCAGCGGACAAAGGGGAAGAGAAATATTTACATTCTTTGAGAGCAGGACGCAAGTCCGGTTCCCAATTTTGCAAGGCTCTGCTCATTCCTAATTGAATTGCTCGAACTTGACCTGGAAAAAAACACCTTTTTAATTTTCCATATTTAACACAAACAAAAACGTTTATGCAAAGAATTAACATACCGAACATATTAAACATTGTTCTTTAAAAAGGAGTTAGTATTGAGAGTAACAGTTTGCACAGAGAATATTTTTGTACTCAACTACTATTAGGAAGAAGAGCCAGCATCAAAAAGCACGAAACAATCTTTAGAAATTACAATCAATTCGTATTTAATTCTGTCGAGATATTGGCTCCGATTTTCTTCTCTTTTCCTCTGCTCTGTTTCAGTTTAATTATTTGAAGTGAAATGAAAATCTAACCACAATTAATTCACCTTAGCAGCCTAGGAAGAAAAGGACACTCGCATTCATTTGACTTCATGAGAGCAGGGGAAGAAAAGCTTTAGTAACATATGGAACTGGACAGAAATTTGTTTTCCATGAGAGCTTGGCAGTGCAGGTAGTAAGTAGCGAGGCAAATTAGTGGTTTTCTGGCATATAAAGCTATAGAATTGCAAGTTCAAGGATAACGGAGGGAAACAGCAGTTGAATTGGATCTCAAACAAGTCGATGTCAAGGAAAAAAGTCAACACATAAATCAAAATAAAGTGCGTAGCAACAAACTTAGGCTTACCTGTGGTGCCGCCTCCTTGAACAGTACAAGCGATGTCCCAAAGGCCCAACGTTTTTGTCTCAGAGAAAGGTCGGAGGAGAGCAGCACGATGATCAAGCATTGGAAAATAGGCGTCAAATCGTTTATCATTAATTGTGAATTTACCATTACCAGGATGAATCCAGACACGTGCTACACTACATTTCCTTCTTCCTCTTCCATATGCTCTCCCCTTGTCGTCTACTGTTCTCACTCTTGCTTTGGCAACTTCCTCCTGTTTCTGGCGCTCTATTTCAGCTCTCGAGGATTTTCTGGTATTTTTCTCATAACGAATGTCTTCAATCTCTGAAAGAGGGGGCAATCCCTTTATCCCTTGAAAATCCTTCAATGCAATCAAAGTGTCAAGCATTTCATCCGCGATTCCAGATGCAGCAATAAGGTCACCAAAGGCACGATTTGGACCTGCAGTTACTATACTGAATCAGTATAACACCTAAAGAGTCACCTAGCTGATAAATGAATCAGCAACTGCATTCAAAACAAAGTATAAAAGTTCGAGAAAGCCGAAGAAATAATCTTATCCCATGTAGAGTGCTTGCAGCTAAACCTAACAAGATACCTGATCATTTTAAATCCTCCTCCCACTAATCAATAAGTAGTGTAGTTCCCAAAATCAAAAGCACAACAATAGACACACCAATATTTTAATGAACTTGCAGACCTCCCAACAACGAAACATACAATTGGTCAGTGCCCAAATCAACCCAAAAGGATTTAGCACAGTACAAGTTGTTCCACTAAGCTATACACCTTCCTACTCTTAAGCATATCAATGTTATCCAGAATTTAGGAAAAAGAACTAGCCTTTGAGAACAGCAGTAAGCTCCCGCTCCTCTTTCCCAAGCCTCTTAGCCTGTTCAGCCTTCTCAATCTCCTCTCTACTTGTCTCACTGTCAATGGCAGTAACAGTCTGTAAACCCTCTCCGATATCGAACACGTCACTCTTCTCCTCCTCTCCCAAGCTCCACAGCTTGCACTCCTCGCCTCCTTTCCCCTTCAACCAGTTGGAATCGGCCTCGCTGGACTCAACTTCTGCAATCCCGGAAATGTCCCCGGAGCTCTCGCCGAATAAAGGGTCAAATTTTCCATCGGTTTCGTGAGAAAGCCTCCAAACATCTGATTGGGAGGGACCCTTACCATCGTCACTGGAGAAGAACCTTGGAGTGAAAGTAGCGAAAAGAGGATTTTGGGGTTGGGGAAAGGGATGGAACTTTGGGGAGATTAGGGTTAGGCGAGAGAAATGTGAGGGTTTGGGTAGAAGACGAGAGAGCATGGTGATGAAGCAGAGACCTGACAAATATTTTAGATTTTTGAAATTTAGGGTTTAACAAGCCAGAAAAGTTTGATGTCTTAAGGCTTCCCAGATCTAACAGAAAAAATACATATAAAAACCCTAATGGTAAATTTGTCAGAAAATTATATTTCATTTTTTAGAAAATTTTATTAGAAAAAAAGGAGATAAAATGTAAAAGAACAAACGTGGAAGACAAAAATTCAACCAGGTTCGACGCAAATCAGTTTTCAGAGGAAAAAAAAGGGATAGAAACTTCCGTGCAAATCAGTTTAAGGTTGAAAACGTTATAAAGGCTTCCAAATAAAAAGGATTTGAGGGTCTCGAGGCATACCTTAGTTGTGCACAATAGAGGTTTTGCCATGAATAGTGGTGGTCGTGGTGGTGAAGTACTCTTTGTACTTGCAGAGATAGGGAGAGACGAGGGAGGAAAGTAATGAAAAGGGCGGATGAGAGTCATGATATTCACTGATGGCTACGGTGGAGTTCGCCCGGAAGGTGGTGTGTGGCGATGCCGTTGCACCCTCTCGGAGCTTGCTGAGGAAGAAGGAAGAGAGAGGTGCGGGTGAGATCGAGTGATGAGAGAGAATGAGGTAGGATGAGGTGGCAGCCACAGAATAGTGTGAGGGAGATTTGAAGAAAAGGTGAGAGAGAGTCCGGAGAGGTAGGGAGACAAGGGGGAGAGGTGGAGGAAGGGGGCGTGGACCCCATTGGCTCACGTAATAAAGCCACAAAAGAAAAACAGAAAAATAACTTTCATAACGTGAATTCAGGTTTCGAAATTTGTAAAATCTTCGTTGTAATTTTGAATTTAGTTATGTTTGCATCTATGTGTTTGTACCGTCGAATACTTCAAGGATACGTTAAAAAGGATATTTTGTATGTCTCACTAATCTTACATTTAGAGTATTTTCGTTAAATTAATTTTTTAAAATTTATAAAATTATAAAATTAGGAACGTACTGGCACACTAATTCTTTTAGTTAATTTAACTTGATTTTTTGTAAAATATTTTTTTTGTGAACATTATTACCCAAAAAAGTTCAAAATTCTCGAAGCCATTTTTTTTTTCTTTAGAACTACAATAGCTTCATTATTGGCTATATCATGCTTATGTCTTAGTTTGTATTATAGCTCATGCCATGACCTATTATTTCTGATCAGAATTAGACTTCGACTCTTTGCAATCATTGGTCAACTAGATGAGTTATTAATTAAAAGTTGCTTGATAATTATTTTATTTTTAATTTTTAAATTTTAGTTTTTACTTTTCTTGAAATTAGTTAAAATAATCTTTGAAATTGATATAACTCCTCATTTTAGTTCCTAAGATTTGAAATTGCTAGAAGTGATTCATGAGTTTCTTAACTATCAATCATTTTGATTATTTCATTAAAAATATTCATTAAATAAGGAACAGATAACAAAAATAATCTCAATTTAATAAACAATAAACCATAACAATTTGATAAAAATTGAGTGTAATTTTGTTTTTTCATATCAAATTGTGGAAAAAAAAAATCAGAAATCTCACTTTGAGTGAGGAGTTGCATAACAATTTCAGGAATCTGCAATTTAATCAAACAGCCACCGAATTTTCTGGAATCCGGTCAACGCAGATTCTGCTGTTTGGCTGATTCTGCTGTTTGGCTTCTTTCACCTCCACAAGCTTGCTGCCATTGTCGAAGGTATATCTCTGTGTGTTATTGAATTTGGGAGTGTTTGGTTGTGGGAACCGGAATGAACTAATGAATGAATGAATGACTGGAAACATTCCCGAAGAGCTTGGGGGTTTGTCAGACTTGGTGAGCTTGGATCTTTACTTGGCAAGCTTGCAAAACTGCGTTTCCTGTATGAACCCCCATCCTTTTGTTAGATAAAATCTATCGTCTTTCTTTATTATTCGATATGCTAATCTGCTGTTTTTAATTGTTCCATTGGAAGTCCCGTGAGTTTCAAGATTCACAAGAAGGGAACATCCAATCATTGCAAGTCCCGTGAGTTTCATACACTTTCATCTCAGTAAGAGGGAGGAGAGAGTGAAAAGTTACTAATTTCTCTGCCATCAGAGAATGCAAATAACATATAGTTTTGCCATGGAATGCAGGGATCTTTCAAATAACAATCTGACAGGGGATATTCCAGTTAATGGATCTTTTTCACTTTTTACTCGCACCAGGTTTGTTGAAGCAACTTTACTCTTTTTCTTTACCTTTAGGGACAAAAATAACAATCTGACAGGGGATACACTTTCATCTCAGTAAGAGGGGGGAGAGGGTAATATAGCTTGATCAAGTTGGTGTTGTAGTTGTTGTATGGGATGCAGGTTTCACTCATCTACTGTCTTTGCAGCTCAGGAGGATCGACAAGTTCATTTACGACAGCTCAAAAGGTTTTCTGTGCGCGAGCTACAAGTTGCGACGGATACCTTTAGCAACAAAAATATTATTGGTAGAGGTGGATTTGGTAAGGTTTATAAAGGATGCTTAGTTGATGGAACTCTGGTTGCTGTAAAAAGACTTACAGAGGAGAGAACCCAAGACGGGGAACTACAGTTCCAAACAGAAGTTGAAATGATTAGCATGGGTGTCCACCACCGCAATCTGCTTTGTCTGCATGGTTTTTGCATGACATCAACAGAAAGGCTGCTTGTATATCCTTATATGGCTAATGGAAGTTTGGCATCTTGTTTAAGAGGCACTCATCTAAATTGTTTGCTGCGTTGATGAATCTTTTTGTTTTCACGACGTTAAAATTTTTTCCGATCACATTGATATAATGAATTTAAAAACCTAACCAATTTGGCTTGGAGTATCAACACTGATTTTTTTTAATGTTTTTTTTTTTCCTTCAATTTTAAGTTACCTTCTCGATGCTGATTTTATTTCTGTTTAATTTGAAAAGGATGACAAGAAGATCCTTTTTTGGGTAGGACGGATGGTATGATATGTGTTAGACCACATTACCTGTTACTTGTAATTTGAAATTCTCCTAAGTATGTGGATATATTATTGTAGATCGTCCAGAAGGACAACCTGCACTTGATTGGCCAATAAGACAACGCATTGCATTGGGATCTGCAAGAGGTCTTGCTTATTTACATGATCACTGTGATCCAAAAATTATTCACCGTGATGTGAAAGCTGCAAACATATTGTTGGATGAGGAATTCGAAGCTGTTGTTGGAGATTTTGGGTTGGCTAAACTCCTGGACAACAAGGATACATATGTTACCACACATGTATGTGGCACAATTGGTCATATGGCACCGGAGCACTTTTCAACTGGAGTGTCTTCCGAGAAAACTGATGTTTATGGATACGGAGTCCTGCTTCTTGAACTCATCACTAGGCAGAGGGCTTTCAATCCTCAGGTTGCGAGTGATGATGATTTCATGTTAGTTGATTGGGTATGCATTTACGTCTTTCTGTTTGTGTATGTAGCTAGTTTATTGTTATATGCAAGATTATTTCCCAACAACATTTGCATTTCCTTAGTAATTAGCTTTTTGAAAATAAGTTTGGTTTAATTAGCTTTTATTCGTTAGAGTTATGATTAGCTGTGAAGATTTGTTTATCTTTATTAATAACAATCTAAGGTTTAAACTGTCAGAGATTAATTATTGCATTTCCTTAGTAATTGTTACTATTGTTGTTGCTTCTTTTGCCAATGTATTGGCACTATGTGATTTCTTGAAGAATTTGGCATATGTTTTGTGTCGATCCTAATTTCCTCATCATCTCCTTATTCTCGCTATCTTGGCCTCTCGTTTTTTCCCATTCTCTCTATTGCATCTTTGTCTTCTCTTTGCATGATATCAATATTTGAATGACGAAACATTTTTGTAAGCAGTTTGATTTTCTGTAGAAAACTGCAGGCCTTCAAATTTTGAACATTACAACACATTTTTTTCTCCTAGGTTCCTGCACCTTTTGTTTCAAATTGTAGAGCCACCCGACATTTTCTGTTTTATTTTTCCTAAAAAAATTAGGTCAAACGACTACTGAAAGATCGGAGGTTGGAAAGACTTATTGATGCGGATCTAAATGGAAATTATATTGACGATCAAGTGAAGCAGCTGATCCAAGTAGCTCTACTGTGCACACAAGGCTCCCCAGGGGAACGGCCCAAGATGTCAGAGGTTGTCCGAATGCTTGAAGGCAAAGGCGAAGGTTTACCTGTAAGATGGGAGGAGTGGCAAAAAGAGGAGGTGATCCGCCAAGATTTCAACACTATTCATCATCCAAGTACTTGGATCCTAGACTCACCTTCTCCTAATTTTTTGTTGTACTATTTCTGTGTGTTTGAAGAAATGGATGAAAACAATGACATGTGATAGAGAGTTCATCATATAACTTCTGACTTTAAGGATTTTTAATTTAGTTCTGGTTCATGTTGCGCAAATAATATTAGGTAACACTGCTACTGGGGCTATTGCTGGAGGGGTTGCTGTTGGTGCTGCTTTACCGATTGCTGCACCTGCAAGTGCACTTGCTTATTGGCGACCGAGAAAACCACAGGATCATTTCTTTGATGTACCTGGTTAGTGAACTATAGGAGTAATATAGCTTGATAAAGGTGGTGTTGTAGTATGGGATGCAGGTTTCACTAATCTACTGTCTTTGCAACTGAGGAGGATCCAGAAGTTCTTTTAGGACAGCTCAAAAGGTTTTCTTTGCGCGAACTACAAGTTGCAACGGATAACTTTAGTAACAAAAATATTCTTGGTAGTGGTGGATTTGGTAAGGTTTATAAGGGACGCTTAGCTGATGGAACTCTGGTTGCTGTAAAAAGACGTAAAGGGGAGATAACCCAAGTTGCGAAGCTACACTTTCAAACAGAGGTTGAAATGATTAGCATGGCTGTCCACCGCAATCTGCTTCGTCTGCGTGGTTTTTGCATGACACCAACAGAAAGGCTGCTTGTATATCCTTATATGGCTAATAGAAGTGTGGCATCATGTTTAACAGGTACTCTTCTAAATTGGTTCTGCGTTGATGAATCTTTTTGTTTTCATGAAATTAAAAAATAGGTAAATTACATTTTACACCCTCAGGTTTGAATGTAATTGCAACATCATACTACATCTTTAAAACATTTCAATCTCATACATTTACTTATCAATTTTAGCAATTTCATACATCTGTTAGTCAAACCGTCAGCTTGACTGTTAAAGGATGACATGGCAAATGTGACGTCAACATTTTTGTTGACATGGATGCCAACTATGATCCACCTGGAATAAAAACAAATAAAAAAGATTAATAAATAGAAAATTAATTAATTTTTTTTATAATTAAAAACTAAAAAAATAGAAAAGATAAAAAAAATTGGTGGTGTTCATCCCTTTCCTGCTCTCACCCCGCCCCCGCATTCTTCATTTCCCCCCGGCCCGCGATTCTCCGTCGTTGCCCAACCCTTTTTCTCTCCAGGAACCAGCCACCATTAACCTTCTCCAACTCCCCCTCTCCAACCCAATGAGATTGTTGTTTCCAAAACGAAAATGCTATTAATTTTCAAAACTCACAGTTCAGACAGAGAACGAATTTCAAATTAGAACTACAAGATCGAAGGAACATTTGGAAAAAAATCCTTACATTTTCGAATCCAAATCTCACTTTCATTCTTGACAGACTTTTACCAACCAAAACCTTAACCCCAAACTCGTACAATGTCCGTAACGGCATCCATCGTGATTTCAGATCTCGGTAAACATCTCAATCAATGAAATAGTACGTAAGATATGAAAGAGAAATTTTTTGAAGATGTTAACGAGGTTGTAATAAACCTTAAACCTGAGGTGGTAAAATGTAATTTACCCTTAAAATATTGTTTGGATTACATTGATAAAATGAATTTATACACCCGACCAATCTTTTTTGGAGTATCAGTACCGATGTATTTTTCTTCAATTTTAAGTTACCTTCTTTGTTGCTATTTATTTAAGCCAAAAATAATGGGTCTCCATACTTAATCACTTTATTTCAAACTGCTAATCTCATATGACATTCTTAATCATTGTATATGGAACATTTCTAAGGTTTAATTAGCTTTTATTAGTTAGAGTTACGATTAAGCTGTGAAGATTTATTTATCTTTATTTATAACAATCTAAGGTTTAAATTGTCAAAGATCAATTATTACATTTCCTTGGCAATTGTTGTTAGTATTGTTGTTGCTTCTTTTGCCAATGTATTGGCCTTGCTGTGATTTCTTGAAGAATTTGGCATGTGTTTTGTATCAATCCTAATTTCCTTATTCTCTCTTTATTCTCGGTATCATGGCCTCTTGCTTCTTTCTATTCTTTTTTGCATCTTTGTCATATGTTTGCATCATATTGATACTTGAATGATGATGCATTTTTGTAAGTAGTTTGATTTTCTAGAGATATTGCAGGCCTTCAAATTTTGAACATTACAACACATTCACTCTCCTAGGTGCCTACACCTTTTGTTTCAAATTGTAGAACTATCTGACTTTTTCCTTTTTATTTTAACTAAAATAATTAGGTCAAAAGACTACTGAAAGATCGGAGGTTGGAAACACTTGTTGATGCTGATCTAAATGGAAATTATGTTGACGATCAAGTGGAGCAGCTCATCCAAGTAGCTATACTGTGCACACAAGGCACCCAAGGGGAACGACCCAAGATGTCAAAGGTTGTCCGAATGCTAGAAGGCGATTGTTTGGCTAAAAGATGGGAGGAGTGGCACAAAATGGAAGTGTTCCGCCAAGATTTCAACCCTATTCATCATCCATGTACTAATTGGATCATAGACTCGACTTCTCATATTTCTCCGAATGAGTTGTCCGGTCCCAGATGATATGCTCATTGGTTCCGTCCCCTGTATACATGTAAGAAGCCTTTAGATGATTGGAGAATGTCCATTTTGTATTTCAGTGATACAACATTTGTGCATATGTTTTGTCTTTGTTTTCAATTTTGTTTTTGTCTTGCTTATTTTTAAGATCACAAAAATGGAGCTAGTGCTGTTGTAATTTTTATAGGGTTCACTAGCATTACGAAGTTATATGGTGCTAGCAGGAATTAGGAAGGGCCACAAAAGCACCTGTTCCTAATGATTTATGTATCTATCTAGAAATTAGGTCAGATTGTCGAGTAAATAATCATTCTGAACTCATAACTATCTATATTTTTGAGTGTTCCTATAGATCCTATAGACACTAGGTCAAGTGCGTGGGTACTTGTGGACGGTTGGTGTTTGAAATTTGATTGTGATCATTGCAAGTCCGACTTTGTGGCACTACCCTTATAAGTACTAGAACTAAGGTATTAAGGGATCTAGAGATCATTGCGTGTCATTCCAACATGGGTATTCGAGCTTTGTCCATCTTCTTTTAGAGTATCGTCAATGGGGACACCTTTGATATCTTTGAGGATTTATTTAAGACCAACTGTAGGGTAAGACACAAACCTAAATATTTGAGTTTAAACAAAATAGAAATGCAATCTAATTGGGGGACTTTTTTGATTTTTTTTGAACAAAAAATATTTTCTACACTAAAAAGGTGGGGGATTGAGTTAGGCCTTATAGTGGGCTAGCAATAATATGGTTTAAAATCGCTTTTGGCGAGAATCAAACCTAAAGACCTCTCAGTTATATGTGAAGAGGAAAACCACTAAAATGTAGTAAAAATGATATCTAATGGTTGAACTTAAACCTAAAAAGTTTGGATTTTGATTGAAGCTAAACCCAAATTTGGGTTTGTATTTCCATATTTGGTTGACCCAAGATTTTGGGGGCCCTACCTTTTTTTTTTTTTTTTTTTTCATTTTTTCAGAAGCAACAGGCGAATGATTTATTGAAGTGGCCGACAGATGGGTCTCTCAACTGGTAGGGTCCTAGCTACAAAATGGTAACATTTTAAGAAACTACGAGCCGTTCGATTTTTGGGCCATTGATGATCAACGGTCTAGGTTAAAATCCTTTTATGCTTTGCAATTTTTAGATTTTGATCTAATTGTTCATATATTTTTTTTCAAATCTAACAATAAAATAAAGTCAACGATAGAAATTTAAAATTCAACGTCAAAATAATAAAACAAATTTTTTAAGAACATATACACTTTACTTTTGGATGGTGTGTGTATTGAAGTTTCGTTGGTTGTTTGTATTGTAACATCCCACATCGTCTAGGGGGTCGATCCTGTAAGCCTTATATGTATATTTCCATCTCTACCTAGCACGAGGCCTTTTGGGAGCTCGCTGGCTTTGGGTTCCGTAAGAACTCCGAAGTTAAGCGAGTTCGCATGAGAGCAATCCCAGGATGGGTAACCCATTGGAAGTTCTCGTGTGAGTTCCCAAAACCAAAACCGTGAGGACGTGGTCAGGACTCAATGCGGACAATATCGTGCTACGGTGGAGTCGTGCCCGAGATGTGATAGGGCCCGGCCCGGGATGTGATGACACACCCCGACCCAGAAAGTCCACTTGGACCCTGAATCGAGCTGTGCTGGCCGACACCTGGAAGGTGACGAAGCCATAAAATGTAATAGTGTATAAAAAGTGAATGAATTTGAATCCAAAAGTGTCTAAAATACCAGAGTGCGCCACGAGTGGGAGCGAACCCATTTCACGCGCGATGTCAGAGCATAAGTAAGGTACAGTAATGTGGGTAAGAATCATACCCTCAAAATATCCATCAATACTAAGATTCGCCACAGATTCTTGTCGATATAAACTCAGCAGCTAAAATCTGGAGGGCACCAAACAAAAGGTGTGAGTAAGCAGTAAAACCAAGCTTCCCAAAGTTACTACCTCTCTAAAAGTAATGCCCCTAAATGTAAAACCCGTATCGTTTTCCATAAGATAGTACAACATATATACATATATCCAAACCATACTCGGAAATGACCAAAACCATGGTTTGCCATCAAATCCACCATACATTAATAAGTAGGCCAAATGAACTAAATCAATACAAAGTGATATATCAGTCAGAGTCATCTAAAATGACATATACAACTTATCCATATCTCATCAATCATGGCTAGCATATAAGTCGGAGTCACCTATAGTGACCTGTACGACTTATTCATATCTCATCAATGCTGGCTAGCATATAAGTCAGAGTCACCTATAGTGACCTGTACGACTTATCCATATCTCATAAATCCTGGCTAGCATATAAGTCGGAGTCACCTATAGTGACCTGTACGACTTATCCATATCTCATCAATCCTGGCTAGCCCATAGCTCAATAAGTATACCTGCACACGAGTCGGAACCACCTAAAGTGGTTTGCACGACAGGACTGGGTGTAAATAAATACGCTCAAGTGCTACGATCAAGTGAAGGCTGGGCGAATAATCGCGGGTCACCTACAAGTCGGAACCACCTAAAGTGGTATGTACGACAGGACTGTGCACCTACCTTGAATCCAAGGTGAGCATAAGGTGCGGGAGGTGAACATCACGTGAAGGACTGTGCCCTGGCCACGGACGGGAGCACTAACAACTGGGTGCAGGTTTATGAGCTCTCAATGTATCTCAATATAACATGTGCAACTCATGGCAACCAGTACGACAGTATCGAAGTTGCCTAACTCATAACTGTAGTCATGCTATAACTTAATCGATTCAATTAATACCATAAACTCACCTGAACTTACCTGGGTGTCCTGAGTTCACCTTTGCACTTGAAAGCATTCCCAATAATTATATGCAAGTAATATACATATGGATATATCATGATGCAATCTACTACTCAACCATGTCGTAGCATTTTCAATTATAAACAATATGGTGTGAAGTGTACAATCAATAACGCCCTACTCCCAAACTACTTATTTTCAGGGATAATTATCCATAACAATCCAATTAACTCTAATTTAACTAACTAATTCACAAAACTAAAACTTGTCTTTACCAATTTCCTTCGCATTACTCAATTTCCCCAAGCAAGGCTTTTGTCTCAAATATTTTATGGCTGCATCTAACGTCTCGTTAGACTGCCTACGTACCCTAAATAGGGATCAAGCCATTCGTAATTCATATAGGTACTTCAAGCATTCACAATAATTATATGAAGGTAATATACCTAATCAATTTAAAAGTGTCGATAGAACTCTCAATAATATGTACAATAAAAAGGAAAAGATCCACTCACCTGGAGTCCACGCTATACTTCTCTAGCACGCGCATCGAGGTCCTGAATGAT